TGCTCTGTGGTGAGCCCGCAGTGCCCGAGGTGGCATGGGGAAGGGGGTGGCACAGAGGGCCAGATCTGGGTGGGGGAGGCACAGGGAGGGCTGCGAGGGGTGAGCAGGTGACTGGAGCCCTGCCTTCCACTCTGCCTGCAGTGGTGGGCTGCCCCCTGGACCGTGGCTTCGTGTTTGATGAGTGTGGCCCGCCCTGTCCCCGCACCTGCTTCAACCAGCACGTCCCCCTGGGGGAGCTGTCTGCCGACTGTGTGAGGCCCTGTGTCCCTGGCTGCCAGTGCCCCGCAGGCCTGGTGGAGCATGAAGCCCACTGTATCCCACCCGAGGCCTGCCCCCCAGTCCTACTCACTGGGGACCAGCCACCCCGAGATCTGCTCAGCCCCAGCCAGGAGTCCCGGGGGACACCTGACCCAGGATGACAGCGACCGGGACTCGTCAGACCAGAAGTCTCTCCTTGGAGAGCAGCTCCCACCCTGGCCAGAGCTTCAGCGCGAGTGCCCTGCGCTGGCACTGGGAGCCTGGGCCCGTGTCCCACAAAAACCCCAGCCGTGTTGAGTCAGAAGCAGTAAACTCGGGGCCTGACCTAAGGCCGCCTTGTGTGTGTGCGTGCTTCCTCCTGGCGCTGGGGTGGCGACATGGGCCGCTTGGGACATGGAGGCCAGAAGTCAATGTCCCCAGAGTCAGAGCAGTGGCAGCTGTGGGGATTTAGCTCTGGACCTTGCTCACTCCCATGCCTGCATCCCTGGGCTGCCCCGCCCACCACACCCTGGTGCTGCCCTGCAGTGGGCAGGCGGAGCCAGGACGCCTGGTCCCAGCCTGCGTTTGCAGGTAGCAGGCATGGCCTGTGGCCCCGACGGGGCACCCTCTGTGGATCGTGTGGAATCCTGCAGGGGCTGAAGTGCACGGAGAAGACGCTCAGTCCCCACATGGCATCCTGTTTTCTCTTGGTTTGGGGATACCAAGTGCTCAGGGGCCTCCTGGGCCACTCAGAGCTGGTGATAGAGGGACCCTGTGCCTGGAGTGGGGATCAGGACCGAGATGAAATACAGACACAGATACAAGTGCATAGACCCCCCCACACAAGCGTGTATACCTGTGTGCATCCACAGCCACGCCCACCTGATGGGCCTGTGGGCCAGGGACACACGTGCAGTTTCTGAAGACATCCTTGTAGGGGAAAGAACATGAGCTTTGAAATAGAAAAACTCTATTTCTTTTAAAAGGAAAACATCTTTTAAAAGTGAACTCTATCTTGAATTCTCTTTACCTCCTACTGGCTATCTGACGTTGGCGTGTTAGGGACCTTGGCTAATGGGAGCCCTGCACTCATTGCTGGGTCCCTAATAAAAAAAAATCAGCGGGAGGGGGAGCGTGTTGGGCTGGATTGAGGTCACCTGTCTGCTTGCTCAGCTGCTTCTGCCCAGGCTGCTCTCTGGGCTCCCTGTCCTCGTGGAGTGGCTAGAACAGCAGCAGAGACGGCGAAGATCACAGCCTCTGTGTCTTCATTCCCTCCCCTAGTTACAGCTTATGCAGGCTATGTCCCCATCTAATGTATTGCAAGGAACAAGCAGAATGAACAGCGCTCTGCACGGGGACAGCCTGGAGCCAGCGCTAGGGAGGCACCCACCATGGCCTGCCGGTCACACTGTCCTGCCAGCCGGTCACACTGTCCTGCCCGTGCTGGCTCAGAGCCTGTTCATCTCCGCCACCATCTCCAGCTGAGGGAGGCAGTGCCACCTGCTGGTTAGGGTGGCTTACTTCTGGGGCCCAGTGTTCTGATCTGTAAAATGGGGGTGAGAATGATAGCACCTACTTCAGTGATGGCGAACCTATGACACACGTGTCAGAGGTGACACGCGAACTCATTTTTTTGGTTGATTTTTCTTTGTTAAATGGCATTTAAATATATAAAATAAATATCAAAATATAAGTCTTCGTTTTACTATGGTTGCAAAGATAAAAAAAATTTCTATATGTGACACGGCACCAGAGTTAAGTTAGGGTTTTTCAAAATGCTGACACGCCGAGCTCAAAAGGTTCGCCATCACTGACCTACTTCATCAGGTTGCTGCGAGGAAAGGTCACAAGTGTGGAGCAGTTGTGTCCTGGCTGTTGGTGGCTGCTGCCCATGTTGAGCATGTGAGGTGCCTATGTAATGCAGCTTCGTGTGAGTATGTGAGTATGTGGATGTAAACAGGGACTCGTTTGGGATGCAAACAAGCACAGGCACACACCTGACTCTGAAAGGATCACACTCCTGACCCTAGGCCGCCCCCTCCAAGGCCCAGAAACCTTTCTCAGGGTCAGAGCTCCAGGAGGCTTGGTGGGCCCTGGCCGCGGCTCAGATACCAGCATCCTGCATTATTGCGCTCAGGGTTCTGCATTATTGCGCTCAGGGTTCTGCATTATTGCGCTCAGGGGCTTTGTCTCTGGCTCCTGTGAGCAGCTCCTGTTTGTCCATCTCCAGTCCCTAGTGGCACTGAGAGAGGGGGAGGGGACATCTGCTCGGACCCCTACTCCATGGCGCAGGCAGCTACACCTGGGGGCCTACGGCTCCCTTGCAGCCCCAAGCAGGTCTTGGCTCTGTACCAGCACCTGTTCCGATGCCCTGCAGGCCTGGGCCAGCTCTGGGCTGCACTTTGGCAGGTGAGGGAGGCAGGGCATTGCCTCTGAGGGGACAGGGCCTCTGTGGGCCTGACCTAACCTTGCCTCCCCAGCTGCAAGAGGGCCGGGCCTGTCCCTCAGGCCTGGGGCTGCCCACCATGCTGATGCAGATGGCATGGAGCCGGCAGGCCCAGGAGCAGGGAGGGGCTGCCTGGGGGTGTGGCAGAGGCAGGGTGGGTACCCTGTCACATTCTGGCACCCCATCTCTTTGCAGCTCCTGTGGGACTTGGAGTTGCTGGCTGGGGGCGGGGCTGGGCCTCTTCTGGCCTCCGCAGGCCCAGTTCTGCGGTCTGAGGGACCAGGCCCAGTGAGCGTGGTGCCAGCGCAGCAAGGCCCGTGGTAGGGTGGGTGGGGACTCGGAGCAGCTGATGAGTGGGGTGAGCGGGGCTTGGCTGAGGCAGGGGGTCACTGACATTGGGGCAGTCGTAGTGGTGAGGAGAGTGGGAGGAGCGTGGGCTTTGGAGACAGATGGATCCGGTTCAGATCTCTGTTCCGACACGGTGTGGGCTGTGGCCTCTATGCCTTCAGCCACATGATGAGGAAGAGAACATCCTTCTCAGAGGACTGCTGGGAGCACCGGTAGCTCATCCATGAGGAGGGTGTAGCGCTGTGCCCACAGCACGGGGCCTGCTCGTTCTGTGCTGGCTGCTACCATCCCACAGCCAGCACCCATCTTGGTCAGTCCACTGCGTGGTGATGCCCAGAAGCTTAGACATGGCTGCAGCGTGGGAGGAGAGCAGGCTGGCAAGGCCCTGAGCGGCACACTGAGCGCCCCCCCCGCAGCCCTCCCTCCAGGAAGAAGGGTGCTGTGGTGACTGGGAGCGACGGCTGTCTCCGGTCCAGCTCAGCCACCAACTGCCGAGGCCCTTCGGGCAGGTTGGCAGCCGGGTCTGGGCTGAGGCCTCCCAGGCGAGAGCAGGAGGGTGTGTCCAATGACCTGCCGGCCAGGACTGCAGGCTCATCTGAGGGCTCCCCTGGGCAGGAGGGACCCCTTTCCAGGCTCCTGCACCTGGAGGGGCAGGGGAGGGCATCATCCAAGGGCATGGATGCCAGGAGGGGGCATCTCAGGGGCGTTTTAGAGGCTGCCTACCAGCTGGTGACCTGGGACTAGGCCACCCCCTAATCCTTCCAGCGTTCCAGGCTGTGCTCCTCACACCAGGCTGGGGACACCCTGAGCCAGAACCATCAGTTCCTGGAGGGGTGAGTCTTTCTCCCAGGGAATCTGTGCACTGGGTGTTCCACATAAAGAGACCGAACACTGGCCCTTTCCCTGGTCTCCTTCCGCAGCCCCGCCCAGCACCCCTCCTCACACACATGGTCCTCCCAGGGCTCTCGCTCAGTTGCACCCATATGGTTGCCCGCAGCCCCTGGGAAGGGTAACCCCCAGGTCCGGCTCCCAGGATCCAGTGGTGGGTACAGGGGCTGGGGCAGGTGTTTGAATGTTGGGTGGGAAGGCTCAGCAGCTGCTGGGGGTGGGGACACTGGCAGACAGGCTGCCCCTCCCCTTCCAGAGCCCAGATGCAAGAGGTGCAGCTGAGGCAGCTTTTGCACACCTACAGGGGGCTGGCTGCAAACCCATCATCAGCCGCAGATCTGGGGGAAGCTGGGAGGACCGCAGAACCCGGTGGGAGGGCCCTGGCGTGCCTGCAGAGCCCACACCTGGGATGTTGACAGGAGGGGTCGGCATCCAGGCAGCAGGGCCCTGGGCTGGGGGGGCCGGGCTACACTGGGGGAGGCAGTCCACTCCTCACTCATTCCTCATCTCATAGCTCTTAGTTGGGTGTCGGGGCACCCAAGAACGGCAAGTAGGTTTTATTTTATGTGCCAATTCCCCTTGATTTGTAGCAGCTGTCTCAGGCACTGTGTCCAGGGGGATTCTGAAACTAATTTGGAGCTCAGGGGAGAGAGGTGGGCAATGTCTGTCCATGGCTGCTCGGGGAGGAGGGAATGGAATAGCCTGTGGGCCACCGTTAAGCCAGACACTGGGAATACGCCAAGTACATGAAAATCTTGCGAAAGAAAGAGAGAGAGAGAGAGAGAGAGAGAGAGAGAGAGAGGGAGAGAGAAAGGAAGGAAGGAAAGGAAGGAAAGAAAAGAAAAGAAAGAAAGTCTTGCCCCATTGCTTGGTCCTTGTCTCTGAGGAGAGCACAGCCTAGTGAGAGCGTGTGACCATGAACAGGGGATTAGAATCCAGTGAGAGACGCTGTGAGCCCTGGACCTGTTAGTTTAAACAAGACAGAGTCTCAAAGGGTTTGTTAAATAATAAGCCCAGCAAAGCCATAAGAATTTTAAATTTGCTTTTACTGACTTTAGAGAGAGGGAGAAGGAGACGAAGAGGGAGAGAGAGACAGAGAGACAGAAAGAAACATTGATCAGCTGCCTCCTGCACACCCCCTACTGTGGATCGAGCCCACAACCTGGGCATGTGCCCTGCCTGGGATTCGAACAGTGACCTTTCAGTAAATGGGACCATGATCAAGCGGCCAGGGCAGCCTTTAATTGTCCTTTCATACATGTGAGAGGAAGAAAGTGGCAATGACTATTGCCTAATTGATAGAGAAATTTTTACAGTTATATTCAGAGGAAGGGGCTGGAGGCTGTTTTCACAGTTTATGCAATAATTTCTGAAGGTGTGGGAGTCTTATCGGACCCCTGTGCTCAGAAACTCTTCAAAAGACAGATTTATTTCCACAGAGAACAAACATTCTCTTTCGGTTACAGTGATGAATATCCCCACATCTATATTGCATAAAGATGGGATGTTCTTGAGAAGGGTCCCACTTTAAGACCTTATGAAATCAAGTTTTTTAAACTTGTTTTAAGGATGCTGAGCGACTTGCCTCCCTCCACAGCTGCAAGGGAGCAGCGACCTCTCATCTCCCTTTTTGGATTCCTTTTGTTGATTATGCAGACTTGCAGTTTT